GGCACAGGAGAACCTGACCTGGGTCCGCTGTCTGATGATCTTCCACATTTTGCGACTTGAAAACCGCTTTAAGCCGTGGCGTTTCTTTCGCTTTGCCGTCCGCGTCCAGCGGCACCTCCTCTTTCCTGCCGTGCTAGTTCTCTTCAGCATGATCGTCATCCTCGCCTATGTGTGCTACTTTCTAGAGCGGTCAGCTGAGGGCGGCAAAACGGAGTTCACCAACCTCCCAATGTCGCTGTACTGGGCGGCCATCACAGTGGCGACGATTGGCTATGGCGATGTGACGCCGACGACGACAGCTACGAAAATTGTCGGAAGTTTGTTGACGATGATCGGAGTGATTGCCTATGCACTGCCACCGGGAATACTCAGCACCGGTCTGGCGTTGAGGACCTACGAACAAAGGCGACTGAAGGGAAAGTCCTACCAGGCGACGGCTGCAGCAGGGCTGATTCAAGCAGCCTGGAAATTGGCAAAAACTTTAGAAAACAGAAACTTTGAAACCAAGTTTGCTTCATTTTCTAAATTGAGATCTGCTCAGGTCTTTATTGCCAAGCTAAAATGGGCCGTGGCGAGAAAAGCCTTTGCAGCTGCTCAAAAACCGTATGACGTGAATGACATTCTTGAGAGGTACTCCCGAGGTCACGTGGAAGTCGTGGAGCGAGTAAAGGACGTCGATCAGAGGCTGGAAAATATGAAGTGCCAATTGGAAAATCAACTCAAAAAGATGATGGTCATTCAAAGGGCAAATGATGATCGCATTGCTCGGTTGGCGGATCAGCTAATCCAGTTGGATTGTTTGACTGAGAGAATTGTGGTTAAACTGAAGAAGAACGAGGTAATGGTGAAAGCCAAATTACAAACACTTGATAAGTTTTTGGCACATCAAAAGACTATTTCATGAGGAAGAAGAGGTTTTATCAGCACTGTACCAAATACTAACTTGATGCACATAAAGTCATTATTATTTTTTACTTAAATCTCAAGTGAGTCTTTTGATAACATTAGGCTGCAATAAAAACCGTTTTGTTTGTGATGAAGATGTGTTGCAACAACTAATCAACAGATAAACAATTTTAAAAACAGTTAACAGATAAAAACATCATTAAATTGTTTAGTTTAAAAACTGTACACAACACAGCTTTTTGTTAAAATTGTACTAGCAAACACAGAAATGAAGTCTAC